CCCCGCCCTTCCCTCACCCTCCCCTGGAACCCCTGCACACAACAGGAGGCGGTGTGGCTGGGGCGGTACCCCACCGTGGAGTCGGCGGCGCGCGCCCACGACATCGCCGCCATCAAGCTGCACGGCCCTGCGGCGGCCACCAACTACGAGCCTGAGACCTACTCCCGCGTCCTGCCCACACTCTCCTCCCACTCCGAGGACCAGGTGGTGGGCGCGCTGCGCAAGGACAGCGCGCTGGCGGTGCAGCGCACCAGCCGCTTCCGCGGCGTGCGGCGCGTGGGCGCCCGCGCCTTTGACGCGCGGCTGGAGGACGCGCTGGGCGGCGACGGCAGCGGGCTCAACACCTCGCCCTCCTCTCACACCAGCATGTTTGTGCCGGACCTGTCCTCCTCCTGAGGACTCGAGGGGTGCGGGTGACTGAGCACAGGACGATGGGTGGGCCCTCTGATTTTTTTATGGTGCGCGGACGCAGCCTGGGTCACGCTCTTAGACCCTGGGTCACCGCCGCCGCTCCTCAAGCACGACTTTATTTTGTCCCTTCCCTGTATTCTGACCAACGCACACGTCCTGTCCATCGACCAAGGCATGCACATCACTAAATGAAAACATGCACTCCGGAGAAGAGAGCAGCAGGAGGGGAGAAACGGGATTCGGCGGACACGCACGGTACCAGGGTTGTGAGCATTGGACGAAAGGGATGGGCAAGAGCAATACACACTGGCAGGCAGCCAGGCCTGGGTCATGCGTGCAGGCGGGCACTTGCATCACACACCACTGCAGCATGCATGCAGGGGCAGCTGCACTAGAGCGGGAAGGTCGGCGCCGGCTGACCAGGATGCAGTGATTCGCGCAGCAGGCGGCTCGTGGCCGCGGCATACGGGTCGCCGGTCCGAGCCTGGAGCAGGAAGTCGATGCCCTCCTGCACCGAGCCCTTGATGCGGGAGTGCAGGGCGTCGCAGGCTTGGCGATCCTGGCGTTGCCAGGAGGTGGGGGAGCGTGAGGAGGGGGTGCGGCCTGGGTGGCATGCCAGGCTCGATCGGTCCAGCCCTTGGCATGCATCCTGCCAAGCACAGCATGCGCTTGATCCTGACCAATATGCATCAGCAACGAAGGCCATCTCACCCTCGCCTCGCTGGGGTCGGTGTGGATGGGAGCCTGGAACAGGAAATACAGTCGCTGCGGCGCACCACGGGGGATCGAAACGGGCGGCACGAAGCCATCAGACCAGCCCGCATCTGCCATCGGGCCAGATCTCGCCTGGGTATGTCAGGGAGCGGGACATGAGGGGGCGGGGCGCCATACGCAGGCTGCAACTCACGATTCAGCAGAGAGCGTATGATGCGTGTGTACTTGAAGAGTGCTTGTTTACCCCTCTAATCTTCCGGCCAACCCCATCCGGTCGCACATGCCGCGAGCCCGATGCACCATCTCAGAACAGCCCAGTGAGCCATCGACCTCCCGTTGATCCCAAAGCCAAGTCCCTCCCACCAACCCAAGGCGTCACCTGTGGCAGCAAAGCCTGCCGCCGGCGCAGGGCATCGCCGACAAAGGGCAACGCCTGGACCTGGGAGGGATCCAGCAGGATGTTGAGGCTGTCGTCGATGCCGACCGCGGCGAAGGGCACGATGGTGGCCCCAAAGCGGGCCGCCATCCTCACAAACTCTGCGCGTGCGGATGAGGGAATGATGGTGCAAAGGGGGTAGGAAGGCGCTCATGGAGGCAGCCCATGGTTGGGGTCAGCATGGGACGCTCCCAGCATTGAAGATAGGATCCGTGCACCCTAAACCTCAGATACAGCCGCAAGGATCATGTTCCGCCGCCCAGCTGCTCACCTGATCTGTCCGGCCAGAACAGGCGGTACTCCTCCCCCCTGCCCTTGTATGCCTCGCGCATTCCGCCTGTGGAAGGGAAGAAATGCGTCCAGGGCCTTGTCAAGAACCGCAGCTCTGCTCCAAAAGTGCGCACTCCGCCTCGCCGCAGCCCCGCAACGGCAGCGCTGGACCACAGGTGCTCACCCCTCCCTCCCTTTCTTCCTTCAGAACAAGACCCTCGCACCTGGAAACAGGAGGATGGCCTCCCCATTGCTCAGTAGGCGGAACATGTTCCGGGGCGACACCCGCACCGCGCCGAAAGTCTCCAGCATCTGCGAGAAGGAGCTGCCCCTGCCCCCGCCCGGGGTCAGGGCCGCCCCGCCCAGCATACTCAGCGCGTCCCAGGGCCCTGCCGGGCGCGCCTCACGCGGCTCCGCCTCGGCCTCGTGGGACAGCAGGGGGTGCGCCAGGCCCCGCAGCAGCACGCCAGTCTGGCGCAGCACCTCCTCGCACAGCACCGGCAGGTCGGCGGACAGCGTCTGGTGGTTGCCCACGAGCAGGACGGGGCGGCCGGGGGCGGGGCGGGGGAGGTGATCCAGCGAGCGCACGCGCCGGCCAGTGGTGGCGCAGGTGGAAAGGAAGACCGGGCTGGTCAGACGCCGCGTCAGCCTGGTGGCGCTGGCGGCGTACCTGTGTTGTGTGTTGAAGGG